AATAGCTGGAGATTAGGATTCAATCTGAATATCTGCAGCAGAAATTTAAAGTTTGATCTCTGAAAAGCACTAGTCATCTGCAGGTTTTTATCAAGCCGCAAGAAACAGTTTTCAAGTATTTTGGGTTTATCTTAAGAGAAGGATTAATCCACATTGGGTGCTCTGGTTTTTGTGGCAGTTACTGTATTTGTGATATCAAACATGGATGTCTTTTTTTCTCACTGAACAGTAATCCAGTGAGGCGCTGCCTAAAGGAGTGCCTAGTAGGGGGCGACTCCTCACCTAACCTCTGACCTCAGCAAACACTGACTTCTGCTGGTTTTTTGGACCTGTTAGAGTCAAAGAGGCAATGAAGCAGAGGAGGGTTTAGAGACTGAATTTGCATTTCTTTGTGTCCCTTTAGATCTAATTCTAGACATTTTAAGTGTTTCTATGTTCATTTCGTGTCTTTTCAGGATTGTTTTCTGCATATTTTTGGTCATTTTTCTTAATTTTATTCAATCTGCTTGCAGTTGTTCTTTTAATATGGTGGTCATTTGGTTGTTTTATGTAAGTTTTAAAACATTTCTTTTCACCTTGGTGAATTTGCAGTCATTTCACATCAGGTCTTGGTTTCTTTGTGCCTCTCCAGGATTGATTTTGTGTCTTTGGTGAAGACTGAGGTTTTGTACCTCAGGTGGTAAATTCTGGACCAATGCTTATGGTGAAAAACAATTCAGCTGATTGCTGAGGGTAAAATTTGTTCAATTAATTTTATTTCGTGCCAGAAAAACTAAGAAACCTTTATTGTAAAAAGTGACAGACTGGTTTTTAATTCTTTAAGACATGGATCACACCGGCTTTGCACATTTATCCAGCACAAAATTACTGCAGCTGATTGAATAAATATGAGACTGATCAATCATCGAATACTGGGCGGCGTTGAGCTGGTGCACTGAGGACTCTCTAAAGGCCTGGTCACTGACGATATGAAGAGCTGGTTTGGGAGCCTACAGCTGACATGTGTCATATGTTCAAACATTACCGCAGTTATTGTTTGACAGCTTTAGAAACCAACTGGTGAACAAAGTGGAGAATTTACAGCTGTCAGTTTGTTGAGGAGCAAAAAAACTGCATGCTCACTGACTAAAGAATTGTCAATTACAAGTCCTCAGAAAAATGCATTACCCCCAAAACTGTGTTTTTATTCAGCATGACCCCAAAATCAGTGACTGAGCCGTGAACTCGTCAAGGAAGTGGTTTCCTGGCCTAGCCCCTGGGTTCAATAGAAAAAAAGCAGATTTAGCTCCACCCCCTTTAAGACACTTTTCTTCTGATTGGCAGTCTACTACAGCCAGGGTGTAACAAGCAGGTGGGTGTACCTGAGATGACCATATAAGGAGATAACCCCCTCTGTGACATCACAGATCCAAGAGTAAAAAAAAAAAACAGTATTTCTGAGCAGTCTGAGCTTTTGGCTCACAGGGATTTCTATTCATACACCAACCTGATCTGTGTTTACAGTGAACCTTTAGTACAGGAAACATATGACAGGAAAATAAAGAAAGTTGCTTTGTGAGCGCCTCAGTGACAGCAGTCAGATATTTACGGCTCTAGCCAACATTTTAATCTTCTAATTTAATTTACTGTTGAATTTGTCTAGAATATGTAAAAGGCTTTATTCCTAACCCCACAGCCCCAAGCGACATCATCAGTGTCCTTGTGTTTACTTGTACTTCATTAGAAAAAATAAAGCATCTTTGAAGCAGGTAGTGTTTAAGCTTTGGTTTCCTGTTGGTAAATGTGATTTATCTGCTGTCATTAGCGTGATCTGAAGACTGATTAAGTCTTTTTTCGCTGTAGTCGAATGTTTGAGCTGAGGCTCCTTCACCCACTGGGACAAAATTCAAAACAGCTTCTGCATAAAAACCCAACAGAGTATTTGAAGGGGGTGACTCTGTGTCAACGGGTGCCTTTTTTTCACTCTCCGGGCTCCTCATTCTGGCTGAGAGAGAGGGAAATCAATAGATCTCAGTCGGCTCATTGATCGTTTGGTCTTTGGAGACTACTGTGGTTGGCTGTTTTGGTCTTTAACAACAATCAACCTCTGCTCGTCCACACAAGCAGGAGAGATGAGTGTGGCGTAGACAGACTGTGTCATCACAGCAACACTAATGAAGTTCTGACAGTTTAAAAGCACACAAACACCCAAGGATACCATCTTTTAATGCCAGGAACACGATGATGATAAACGCTGTGATGACTTACAGTACGACTGGTTACCCACAGACTCTTCTTCCTATTTTTCATCCCTGAAGGCAAAACTGGTTTTACTGTTAGTATCTTTAAATGTTTTTTAGACAGAAATAGGAAAAAGGCTTGGTTCCTTGCATACAAAAAAATCCATTATAACCTTTCAGCATGTAGTAATTTATCTAATCAGAGCTCTTTACTGAACAGGTCAGAGAGAAGAAGTCCAGATAGAAGCATGTGGTTCCAACATGAACGAGAACAACAACCTAAAAATGTTAATCTGTCGCGTAAAAGTAAGAGGCAAAACCTGCAGTTCCTCTAGCATCCACTAGAGACCACTAGAGAAAATGTTAAAACTTCACAGCAGAGATAAATAGCGTGATGTAACTTACCTGTTTGAGTTGTATTAAGGCTTAAAGTTTGCGTTATTAGTGGTGTGGCCTCTTTGACTGACACGTGGACAGAGTCTCTGAGCTGGACCTCTAAGCTGTGTTTGTGCTGTTGGAGCATTTTTAATGACATTATTTGACCAATAATATGGCTGCTGTGAGGTTACTGTGCTAACAGACTGTCCAAGACGTCTGTGAGTGAAATGCTGGGATTTTATTTGGATGTTACTGAGCACCGTGTAATTAATAACCAAATTATCTTGGATTAGCTTATAACTCAACCCTCTTTCTCTATTTAAAAGGTTATGAAGGGTAAAACTATCCACAAAGGCCAAAATTCATGTTTATTTGTATGGCAAAGACATTTTAACAAGCGAGTCTGTAGCCAGCTTCTAGTGGGCATCACAGGAAATGCAGTGTTCTGTTTTGAGGTTTTGGTTTTGTTCAGTCACAACCAAAAAAACTTTCCTATGAAGTGAAATGTGGAAATCGTGTCATACTTTTACGTTTTACATGTTAGCAGAGCAACAACGGCATGAAGGTCTGCCATGGGCATGAAATCCAGTTGTTTCAGCCTGAGTCATAGTGGTGAACCGACCAAACGAGTGTTTATTAAACTCGCCTCAGCCACTCAAAGCCATAACTAGTGAAACTAACTGGAAACACTAACTCCATCTCTGAATACGCAGTTATCTCAGCTGAATCCTCACATCTGTCTCACCATCTGTGGGATGTTTTCAATTACTGCATTTCTAAATCCAGACTGTCGATGCTCCACTACTTCTGAGAGAGACAGGTATTTGAGATAGATATAAGTCCGGTATTAGTTCCTGTGTGAAAGCAAACCTGACATCCAGAAAAAGAGAGGATGTTTCTGAGAGTGTTGCGCTCTCTCGATCCGCTAAGAGGCTTATCTCATGCAGCATGTAACAGCGAGAGAACAACAAGGAGCCAGCGGCGAAATAAAACCTGATCTGAATTGAATCATCAAGCCACCGGAGTGATCAAGCATCACTCAACCTGCAGAGAGAGAGAGAGAGAGAGAGAGAGAGAGAGAGAGAGATGAAACCATAGAAACATGCCACATAGCCACAGGCTGCACCACATGACCAAAAGTATGTAGACACCTGAGTCGCTGCTAAATAGAGTTCAGGTCAGGACATCAAACTGTTTCCCAAAGTAAAAGGTTTTCAGCAGGAGGGTTGAACTCAGACACGACACTCCTGCTGGACGTCTTTGTGCCGCTCTTTGGCTCCATTACACATGCGTCTAATCTTTTAGCTTAAGTTCTGCAAATAAACCCCTAAAGTCTGACGACCACATGCTAAAACTGTCCACACTCATGGCTAAGAAGGATCAAGCTTCTGCAGTCTGTCCACACAAATGTGTCACTTTTGCTGCACCTCGCGTCTACGTTTCTCCACCATCTCCAGAGATGGGCTCTGGAAATGCTGCTGAATCTTGGCATCTTGCCCCAGAGGGGAGGGACACACACCTCCACAGAATCCAGCCGAGGAGGTTAACCTGCCCAGAAGCTGTTGACCCATTAAGAACTGCTGACCCATTAAGATCTGACATAGATACAATCCCAAAGCATGTGCAAGTACAACAAAGACTTTCTTATGCAGTTTTAAAAACACATAACCAATAAAGAAACTAACCATTTAAAACAAGTCTGAACTTTTAGATTTTCAAGAGCAGGGAGCTTTGATCTTTCATCAGCTGTGGGTAGCTTCCTCTGTAGATGTGATGAGGTGAGGAGCTCATAGTAGAACCCAGAGATCCTCCACCTCAAGATGAGACAGCTGAGGTGATTCACCAGGATTGGTCCAACGAAGAGGAGACCTCTTCGTTCGACACAGGACACCCTGGAAAGACTCTTAGCTGACCTGTGACCTTTCTGAGGAGCTGGAGAGGGTGGCTGTGAGGGGGAAGTGTGGGCGTCTGGGTCTGCTTGGACCTCTTCCCTGTGGTCACATCTGGCTCCATTAAAACTACACAGTGACCATAGTTTATATACAGTCTTTGCTTTCTCTTTATAACGTTATCACTCGCTATGATGTCAGTGCATGCTGCTGACGCCAAACCAGCTGAAAGCAAACTTGTTGTTGACAGAGTTATGTGCAGACCCGTCTAACCTGATGGCCACACAGGTGTCCACACACTTTTGGCCACGTCGCTGAGCGCATGTGTTGTGATTTTGGTGAACTGAGCCTTTATCGTAGAAAGTTCCAGGGTTGTTTGGGCTTTTGCAGTGAAGATGAGAAGAGTGAGGAGAGTGGGAGGTGAAGGGTGAGAAGGAGGGCAGGCTGGGGTGAGGTGGGCGATAAAAGAGGCAGAGGGGGAGGAGGGAGGACAGATGAAGCGCTTACAGAACGAAAGCGGTCGCGTTTAAACTCAACAGTTTCTCAGCACACAGCGAGCAGCGCCTCCTCCTCTTCTTCCCCCTCCTTCATCCTCCGTGCATCCATCCTCCTCCTCCTCCTCCGTTCCTCCTCTCCATGCCGGCGGAGGTCTCCGCGGGGCTGCCATGGCGAAGATCCGGGTGTCGTACGAGTACTCCGAGGCCGAGGACAAGAGCATCCGGCTGGGCTTGTTCCTGATCGCCTGCGGGATCCTCAGCCTCTTCATCCTGGGCTTCTGCTGGCTCAGCCCGACCCTGCAGAGCCTCCAGAGCAAGCCGGCCAACTGCACGGTGAGCCCGGCTGCCAGCTCCGAGCTGCCACCGCCGCTGTTGCCGGAGCCGCCGCCGTACAAGGAGGTGTAGTAGATGTAGTAGTAGTAGTCAGGTTAGTGGTAGTATTAGTTAAAATACACACTGAACCCGACTTTTCTTGTCGTTTGTTGTCGGGGTTCACGCTGTGCTGGTTTTTAGAGGTGTGTTTATGTGGAAGTAGTTTTAGTGAGGACTGCTGCTACCACACTTACTGTAGTACTGCTACTGCACTCAGTACACGCTGCAGTTAAATACTTTTGATATCACACAATACATTTCTAGGGCAGGCTTTGACTGTCTATAGTACTTCACCTTAAAATATTATTTTAGCACGCAGCCTATTAATAGTTCTCCTATAAAAAGAAAAAAATAACTTGCAGCCTACTGCAGGATACTGAGAGCTGTTAAGGATTTCAGCATTTCGCCGGAACTGCTGAAACAACTAGGACTTTAACTGATTAATTATACGCATTAAAAGTACATCAATCACAAGTACTGAAAAATAGTAAACATATGTCTGCTGTAGTGTTGCTATAAGGCTACTAACACTCAGCGGCAGCAGGGCGGCTTTACCTGGAGCCTAAATTAGTGATGTGACTGTGTAAGTGTGTTATTATCAGCTGTGGTATTAGTGGTTGATAAAGAGGGGAGTGCTACAGTGTTAGTAAAATAATAAGTGAAGTCAGGACCAAAATAAATGCAGTTTTTAACATAATACTGACATTATTTTCTTCATATGTGCACTCGTCTGCTTTCAGCTCAGTGTGGGAGTCTTTCTTGCACTTATTTCCAGTCTCCTTAGTTTCTCCTCACACACGGAGTGGAGTAGACATATTAAGCCAACTCACCACTGTACGTATGTCACCATGAGTTCAATAAAAGTGAGAAACACCTCCAGGCTGCCAACTCTCTGTTAGCTCTCCCGTTGCTGATGGTGGAGTAAACATTTCCATCGATACTCAATATCCAGATTTTGGAGTCAGGATCAGGACACGTCGGCATGATTGGAGATTTTATAAAGTATTAATGTTGATTCAGACAAAAAAAAAGTATTTAAGGGAAAATAATGTTGATTCCTGTGGATCTGGGTCCAGTATTTGCATTTTTTCTGTTTTTTTTTTTCATGTGAACTTAATGAATTCACAGCTTTTTGAAATTCTATGCATTAACTGGACAAAGCTGCAGCTTTACTTATAGGTGAAAGGATCCACTTGCCTCTTTTGTTATGCTGCAGTTTTTAGGAAAGTCCAAATTGTTTACTAGAAAGTCACTGACATATTTACTCTACAGGGTGGGCCATTTATATGGATACACCGTAATAAAATGGGAATGGTTGGTGATATTAAAGTTCTGTTTGTGGCACATTAGTATATGTGAGGGGGCAAACTCCTCAAGATGGGTGGTGACCATGGTGGCCATTTAGAAGTCGGCCATCTTGGATACA